GTGCACAAATTCGTGCACTGGGCCTCTAGTATTACAATAAAAGAGCTACATTAGGAACTAATGTATAACATTTGCATACATTTTCAAGATACTATACTATGTACCCCCCAAAAATGTTATGCTTATGGGGTTTTGGGGGCCACATTGTATCAGCTTGATCTCTGGAATCAACTCTGTGTACATGAGCTAGCCCCAATAAAACTCTGAACAGCAAGGCTCAGGTGAGCCTCCCTGATTAGCAATGCTCCATGCACCTGGTCACATATCTTTGCTGCAAGAAGTTAACAATGTCTACAGTTCCACTGGAAGAAGCCAAATTGAAGTTCTGCATGTAGAAGTCTCTGGGACTCTGCCCCATGTCCCTCTTCCCTTGACTGATTTTAATCTCTATCCTTTTGCTATAATAAAATATAGGCATGAGTAAAACAGCTTTCGGTGAGTTCTGTGAGGCCTTCTACCAAATTATCAAACCTGAGGTTGGTTTGGGGGGTCTGCAAGCTTGCAACTGGTGTCAGAGTGAGGATGGTCTCCCAAACTTTGCACTTTGGGACCATCCTTTTTCCCTATCACCATATGTACTTGGATGGAAAACTCTAAGGAACATTTATCTATACATACACCCTCATAAGTTATAATCCCCAGTATTTATTGATCATCTGCATACTTAGTGGCAGGCACTGAGCTGGCACTAGGAATATGTAAGTGAACAAAGCATAATCAACTCCCCCCCTCCCCCTCAAGAATCTCAGGCTTGTGCTATAGGACTGTGAAAGGGGAGTGGCTAAGAGACATATTCTCCGCCCCCGAAGATGAGGGTACTGTGTAAGTGAGCGGGCATCCTTAGTGGGGTCTGTGAATGTTTACATGACACCAACTTTATCACTTTCACTTGGGTAGCATTCCCTCTTAGTTCACTAGGAGGAGTCAAGGATTATATATATAATTGATTTTTAGAGACAGAGGAAAGGAGAGGGAGAGAGAAACATCAGTCATGCATGGCCCTTATTGGGGATCAGGGCATGTGCCCTGGCTGGGAATCAAACCAGCAACCTCTTGGTGCCCAGGACAATGCCCAAATAACTGAACCACACCGGCCATGGCAAGGATTTTTAGTTTTCCTGGTGATTAGGCACATGATTACTGAGAGGAAACACAAATGCAAAAGAAAGTTATATGGAAAGACAAGTTACTTGTCCTATAAGTGGGTGTTTGAGATGCCAGCAGGAAATCCATATGGCAAGTTTAAGAGCCAGGTAGAGGTTTGGTCCAGAGCTTGGAGGGTAAGTCTGGTGTCAGAGGCCCAGATTTGGGAGTCATAAGCACAAGGTAGTTAATGCCATAAAAAGGGATGGGCAGTAGAAAAATCTTAATATTGCTGAAAGATGGTATAACCCCCCAAAAATGTATGCACACACATTGAATAATTATACAGTTTTTATTAAAATACATTTCATTTTCAACATGGAGCTATCAGCTGTGAATGTGTGTATACTTGTTTTTGGACACCTGTATGTTAGGAAACACCAACCTTTAAGGGCCATACAGAGTGATGCAGGAATGGAAGGAAGCGGGATGACCAGAGAAACCAGAGAGTTTGAGGGACCCTGGTATGGGGGGGTGCAATCCAGAAGGAGTTTCATCAGAGAGGCTGTTCAGAGTGCACTGGAATGGGGTCAACCAGGAGAGACTCGGTGTGTGACTTCCATGACGACGGAGGGAAACACACTGAGTGATTCTTTTCTCTCTTTTTAAAAAAGTCTTTATTGTTGATAGTATTACAGATGTCCCCCTTTTTACCCACCCCCCATGACCCCCCTTCACCCGGCTCCCACCCCGCCCCAGGCCTTCACCACATTGTCTGTGTCTATAGGTAAGATCTTTGGTTAATCCCTTCCCACCCCCCTTGCCTCTGAGATTCCTCAGTCTGTTCCATGTTTCCATGCTTCTGATTCTATTTTGTTCACCAGTTTATTCTGTTCATTAGATTTCTTGTTCGTTTATTTTGATTTTTAGATTCAATTGTTGATAGATATGTATTTGTTGCCATTTTATTGTTCATAGTTTTTATCTCTTCTTTTTCTCTTTTGAAGAGAAGATGCAGCAGGATCAGAAAGAAATACTGGTTTTTCTAGGCAAGACCTAAAGCAGTGGTTCTCAACCTTCCTAATGCGCGACCCTTTAATACAGTTCTTCTTCCAGGGCTGTTATAGTGAGTGGGGGGGCTAAAAATTTTGCGGGGGGTGACCCCCCCAGTGCCCTGTAGATTCAAGCCCTGGTAAACCGAATCAGCATCAATCGCGGGATTGACGGGTTATTGGATAGAGAGTTTTATGTCCACTGCTGAGAGAAAGGATATTACAGTGAGGAACGAAGTAGTCCGTCAGTCGCAGCAGTAAGCAAAGAAAAGTGCGGAGGGGGGACGTGAGATA